AAAGCAGTAAGTAGTGTGGCCTGCGCATGTCTTTTGAAGCAAGCACAGTAGCCTATGTGTGTTTGGTAACGTTCCTGAGCTCTGTTAGTGTACTTGCATGAGGTTTCCGGTATAGATAGACTCTGTTTGTTCTTCTAAGACCTCAGGTTGGTATCTTGTTTTATTGCTGGACTGCGTTCATTTCAGTCTCAATTTCGATATGCATGAAAGACAAAAGCTATTCTCATTTCAGCTTTAACCATAGAAATGATATTTATCTCAAAAGTAGTGCAGCAGCTCCTACAGAGTGCTTGTACAGCCAAATCCAAATTTAGTTCTTTATGCGTCTGAACAGGAGCCATAATTGAAACTATATTGGATTGAAGTAAGAAGCTTTATTGAGAAGTATAAAAAATGTGAGATCATGAAAATTTGGATGTAGTACAAAAGAATTTTAATCTTTTGTTTTTATTTAAAAAGACATTATTTAAGGCTAGAGGAAAGCAGAAATGTTTACTTAATGTGGAAGGGAAGGAGTGTCAGATCTGATGATGATGTATTGAGGGGACCATGTACTTGCATGTCTGTATGCGCTATTCTTTTTCTTCACCTCCACTGCTTTGCCCTTTGCTCCCTTCCTGCTCGGTCATATAGCTTATTATTGCATTCGGAATGTGAGATGAAATGCTTGCTTTTCTTTACCATTTAAGTGTTTGGTGGTGCACCCGCTGCTGTCTATCATTTGTGTGTACTCATTTGCTTCTGTCTATAACCTTAATGTGTAGGCGAAATTTTTGTATGGGAACAAGTTTACTCCTGAAGAAATCCAGGACATCAAGTTGATGATTCAAAGCAATATTTACAAGTATCTGAGCATTCTCCTTGATGGAAGGGAGCGCTTTGAGGAGGAGGCTTTATCAACAATAAAAGCTGAAGGTACTTTAAAATATATCCTGAAAGTATTGATAAAAAGGTGCACTGCTAATTAACGAAGGAGTTGCTCTAGATGGGGTAGACTGGCAGTCATCAGCTGGACTTGCAGCTTTGTCTCCTCCCCTGCACGTTTTTGAACTCCATTTCCACTAGTGCCAATTTGTGCCAAAAGTGGAGCTCTTACCTCCTCTTAACCAATTGCAGTATGCTCAAGCTTCATCTACCAATAGTCGAATCTGCCCAACAGATGTATTCTAAAAAGTTCGTTAAAAATGAAATTTAGTTGGATTGATATGTGTCTTGTGTATTACGGTTTTCATTTCAGTGGTTTCGGACATCCCAAAAACCCATGTCTGTCTACTCCCCTATTATGCTTGCATTTCTTTCAGATCTCCTCGGAATGTGGGAATTAGCTGTAATTGCATAGACATCGTAGTATTGGGAGGTAAATTATTTTTTTATTTGTCAGGACCTGTTTAAAATTGTCTTCACTCGGAGAATATTTTGCCTTGCCTTACTTTTCCATAAATGCAGTTTATGTAGTTATCATTTCAGATGTGATAGCTTAGGTGCTCTTTGATTTCTTGTCAATCCCTACGTTCCAATTTTAACTAAAAATGATCCTTTGCTGTGTGCTTGCGCCTTTCTGCTGTAGTTCTTGTCTATTCTTGATCAAGTTTTTTCTAAGAAAATAATCTTCAAGGAGTTCAGCTAACTGGTACATATTTAGTTATTAATACTCCTTCCATTTCTTATCAAATTCAAAGACCATTATATCTCACATGGAAAGTAAATACTGCATAACAGTTTCTTAAGGTTTAACATATGCTTCTGTAAATTAGGGTGGGATGTTTTGTTTCCAGTTGCGGTTGTCAAAAGACCAAGTGGATGCGCTTCACTAACTGATTTCAATTTTATAGGTAGTGAGACCGAATCTGCGGAAAACACCCAGTGTGTCTATTCCTTAAATCCAAGGTTGAAGAATTTCTCAAATTGGCTACTGGATATTATAGCAACCGGAGATTTGGATGCTTTCTTCCCTGCAGCAACGCGTGAATATGCTCCATTGGTTGAAGAGGTCTGGAAAGATCCTGCTATACAGGAAACATACAAGAGGAAGAATGAGCTTCATTTTCTTCCAGATGTGGCGGATTACTTCTTGGGCAAGGTATTTTGCATATAACTTGTTTCTTGAACCACGCTGTCCAATATAGTCCTTGTAATGAGTTTAGTCCACCAACATACTTTTACTAGCTGCATCGGAGGTTTATGGGCAATGGAGTTGTTCAATTATCTAGTTGATCCCACTTCTCTTTTTTCTTGATTTATAGTGGAAGCTATCACATAGTTGAGTTTTAATCTGACTAATGCTCATCATTGTGGAAGGTAAAAATGGATATTTAACTAGTCTCTTTTTAGGCTGTTGAGGTATCAAGCAATGAGTATGAACCTTCGGAGCAAGACATTCTGTATGCAGAAGGAGTTACCCAGGGGAATGGGTTGGCATTTATGGAGTTCCAATTGGATGATCGTAGCCCAATGTCTGACACCTATGGAGACAATCTGGATGCTCCTCCTCCCCCTCTCACCAGGTACCCATCGATATTTGTATTTGTTGGCCTTGAAGCTACTATTCATTAGTTTTTTGTTCTATATTTGTGTGGAATTCTCTGGAAGTACTGTATTCTGATCCGAAGTTCTATATTTATATAAATTGACCTAATGATGAAAAAATACATTTGCGTTTACTGGTGTTAACCTGTGCTGATTCAGTATTTCACTAAATATAGCTTGTGTAAATCATATGATTAACAACTTACACGTGCTTCGATGAATGGGAAATAAGGCGTCAAAAGGTCGTTTGGAAGGTTAGGGCAGTAGTTGCTCAAATTAGGATGCTCTTTTGTGTTAGATAGGTGCTTACACTAAAATATGCTGATTAGGTTCTTAAGATATCGAGGAGGGGACTGTTGAATTAGCAAAGAGGTCATTCGCTCCTCCCTACCAAAAAGAAAAGAAATATTGGCTTAAGGACATATTTTTTATGCAAAATGAAGGAGGTGGAAACTTTCTGGAGTTATCCTTTGACAGCGTGTTAGGAAGAAAAGAACAATTCACTGGAACATCTTCTATAGTCCCAGATCTTTCACATTGCCTTCACATACTGGTTTCACTCGGATTGGACAAACATGTGTTCTTTGCACGGAGCCGTGATTTTTCATCTACACCAAGAACAGTACACTGATGGTGCATATATCCACGTGTGTTATAGTCTATTCGAGTCTAGGGACATAGACTAAAATATTAATCAGCATCATAACTATACCTGAAAATATTTTAATGGAGTAAAACCTCTTCAATATGATATGAGTGTACTTCCACAAGTTATGCATATCTTTGCTTGCCGTTGCTTTGGTAATTATGTTTTTATTCTAACAGGTACCAGCTAATTAGACTAAATGGCAAGGGAATGAATGAAGGATGCAAGTGGGTGGAGATGTTTGAAGATGTTCGTGTCGTTGTATTTTGTGTTGCCCTTAGTGATTATGATCAGATGTGGGTTGCTCCAGAGGACAGTGGTAGTGGCACACTACTTCAGAACAAGATGATGCATTACCGAGAACTTTTTGAAACAATGGTCAGGCATCCCTGTTTCAAAGAGACCCCATTTGTTTTAATATTGAACAAGTATGATCTGTTCGAGGAGAAGCTCAACTGTGTGCCATTGGGCGCTTGTGAATGGTTCACTGATTTCAGTCCACTGAGACCTCATAATAATAGCCAGTCGCTCGCTCACCAAGCATATTACTATTTAGCCATGAAGTTCAAAGACCTCTATGCTTCCCTCACCGGTAGAAAGCTATTTGTGTGGCAAGCTCGGGCAAGGGACAAAATAACTGTTGATGAGGCATTCAAGTATATAAGGGAGGTAGTGAAGTGGGACGAGGAAAAAGAAGAGACCTACTATGTTGGAGCAGAAGATTCATTTTACAGTACAACCGATATTAGCTCGTCTCCATTCATCCGGCAGGAGTGAAAGAATAATTTAAACGTATGTTGATATTGTAGATAGGACAAAGAAAGAGGGATGTAATATGGTAATAAGTTGAATCTAATTTTTTTTCACCATCGCCTTTTCGTGGTTTTTACAGAGATGGTGTTTCAAGTGAGTGATTATCTTGGGTTATATTGCTGTGCCATCCAAGTATATATTCTTAGATGGCAGTGGAATGATGATAATAAATGCTTATTATCAACCTTCTACCTCATCTGTCTGTTGTAAAAGTAGCTTTGCTTTTAGTTACATGAGCAGTACCAATTATATGAGTCTTTCTTTGCTGTAATTTTCCCCTGAGAAGCTTCAGATGAGAGTGACTTTTTGTTTCAGTAGATTATTCCCCTCCCCCCTCCCCTCACTAACACCAATCTTGAATTGGAATGATGAGACCTTCAGGAAAGATTTTGGTTGCAGGATGGCTGAAAATAGCATGGGCTAGCCAGTTTTCGGACTGGTATTCGAAAAATAGCCTAACGTTTTATAAAGTCATTAAAAAAATAGTCATTATTTTATGCCGAAATAAAATCTGGACAAAGATACCCTAGCTGAAACACTGAAAATTTTAGCATAATGTGTATAAACTTTCAGCATATTATGTTGGAACTCTAACATATTATGAAATTCCAGCGCATTATGTTGGAATCTCATATGTAAATATTATGCTGGAATGTTTTTGGATTTTTAAGGGTGTTTGTTCAGATTTTATCTTTATATAAAAAAGTGGCTAAATTTCGATTGCTCTTAAAACTGAGGTTATTTCCAATTACCAGTTAAAATCATTTTTCCCTACAAAAGGTGCTAATATTTTTGGTATGAACATTAAAGGCAGAATATGGTCTGTGTGAGGCAGAGTCCTAAATAATCATAAATAGTTGTGTGACAATCAGTGTGCATGATGTCTTCAAAACACAAAAAATAATTGCTTCCGACCTTTTTAGCAAGTTTTTTTTTCTCTCTCTCTCTTCATTTTCTTGCCAGGTCGTCCGCGAATGATGAATAAGTGAATTAGTTAGAACTAATATTTAATAAATAGTTAATTATTAGTATAAACAATAGATTTCATATACAGTCAATTGTGAGATGATAATTAGAGATGCTAATAGTACTAGGTGAAGTAATTCAACCTAAACATGTACAAAGAAACTTTTGCACACCTAAAACTGCTGTGTATATTAGGTGGTTATTGATTCTAAAATTGAAAAGTGCACCACATAAAAGCTTAGTGGATTTGAGAAGGTTATTGATTATGAATCGATTAATGCACCATTTAAGCTGAGTGGATATTAACCTTTTGTGATTTTGACTAAGTTGATCCAATACCAAATACTTAGTAATAAGTCTGGTCTACTTTAATTAATTTTTTGACCTTTTTTTTTCCCATAATATTTAATTTTTTCAGATGTCAAGAAGGAATTGATTTTTTTTTTTAAAGTTGTCCTTGGAGCAAAGAGTCTCGGAGGTATTTATCATATATCCAATGAACAAATTAAAAGGATAGTAAAAGTTAATATGGTCAATTTTATTTGTTAATTAATATTAAAAGGTAAACTTATTTAATATGCATGAAAAAGCAAAAAAGAATCAATTAAAGTGGTCGGGAGTAAGAGATAGTTATCCACTTTGAGTCTCATATACTAAAGTCTAAACCATAATAAATGCATTCATTTCGTAGATAAACTTCACCAACAAAATGATGATGATAACACAATTAGATGATGAGCAATAAAAAACAACGAATTAACTAGTACAACAATTATGCCAAAGGAGAAAACGAAAGAAAGGAACTAGTACGTACAACAATAATCACGCGCGGTCCAACAAAAGCAATCAATATACAGACAGAGTGATACATGTGAGCTAAAAAAAAGAACATTTTTCTTGTGACTTGTAATTGAAGGAAAGTTAACTCTTTTTCCTCTATTAAAAACCTCTTAACTCTCACAAGAGAAAGACATTCAATCTAAAACCATAACACAAATATGGTCTTTAAGTTGAGACTTTTTCTTCTTCTTCTTATCTTCATTTTTAGTTCCTCGGCTCATTCAAATAATATAGGTGTTGTTTATGGGAAACAGGGTGCAAGGCATGTCCATGGAGTTCATCAAAGGTGGAAAAAGAAGCCATGGATGAATCATGGAAGCAATCGGGGTCCTCAAAAACACCTTGTTAATCCCACCATTAATCATCGTTTCGACATACCCCAATTGCCAGTTTAGCCTCTTGTCAATCTTGATATTAGTTTTAGTCTTTTTACAGTTGATAGAAAATGCTTCTCTTGAATAAATGTAGACTTTTAATTCCCTTAGTACGTTTGGCTCATGTCTAAGTATGATCATATGTTGTTTCTTGTGCTAATGAGGACATGTCCAAGAATTGAAATAACAACAACAACAACAAACTCAGTATAATTCCACCGGAGATGTCCAAGAATTGAAGCATATGAAGGAAAACCAAAAAAGTGAAATAGAAATGACTGAATGGTGAGTTTGTGCATCATTGATGTACTATAAGACTCATCATCGTTCTTGATAAAACTATCATCATACTGTTATTCCCGGTCAATATTCCTGTATTTGTAAATATTAATTCTGCAAAATATAAGTTAACGTAATGAAACAATAATAATGAATTCGAGCCCACTGAATTCACAGTGTTTCCTTAAGGAATTTAATCCCCTCCTAGTACCCAAGGTAATGGATTATTTCCTCCCAGGATAGAACGAATAACACACTGGTGTAGCGGTACTTCAAACCCCAGTGTTTCGGCGAACACAAAGTTCGGTAGCAAATCACACTTACAGTTGCTTTGTTTGAAGTTAAAAACAATGCAGAACGAAGGAGTATATACTCAGAAAAACGTATGGAAGTTCTGAGAGGAAGGAATGCAATGTATAGCCAATTTGTTGAGCGAATTGTATGTTGAGTTGAGTATCTTTCTTCAACATTTGCTGCTCATATATATAGCAGCCAAGAAGGAGTGCAAGACCAAACGTCCACCCTTCATGGTGGAGCAAGCATTACATGTTTGTGGAGCAAGCACTTCATGTTTGTGGAGCAAGCACTTCATGGTGGGAAGACCATTATCCGGCTGCCAAATTATCAATACACGGATTGGAAAATATCCGTTTACAAATACGGATAATCTTACGTTAATATTTACTATTAACAAATAAATTTGGTCCAAAAAATTAATCAATCAATCGATCATTTGACCAAATCCAAATCCAAATCCAAATCCGAAGCCGAAGCCGAAGCCGAAGCCGTAGCCGTAGCCGAAGCCGAGCCGAGCGAGCGACGACGACGACGGCGCGAGGCTTGCTTTCTTCTTAACTCTTTAAGAGCTACAAGAAGAGCAATTATATATATACCCACCAAAAATGTCTTCCACTTCCAATATGGGACAATGTCTCATTGTTAAGAGGGGGAAACTTAAAATTTTACTCAAAATTTCATTTTCCCTCCATTTCCCATTCACCCTCATTTTAAGAATATTACATTTTAAAAATAAAACCTCAACAATCCCCCACATGAATGGGGAATGGCTATATCACGGAAGTATGCATGAAAAACTGTGTGATTTACAAGCAAGGATTAATTGCATCTGGATAAGTAGGTTTCCCTTTGAACTTTCCGTAGTAAACTTATGTCGGATATACTCGGTCAATCGGTAGATTTGATATCTTTGAACCGTCGATCTTTGGTGTATACCTAGACAACCATAAGTCACACAATCAACCCTTAACCGTCTTTGGTTCTCATTGTTGTGTTCGTTTCAGCCATGAACACCGCCTGGTTTCATAAGTGCGTAGAGAACTGGCCTTACAAAGTTCTCCTTGAAGCGGCTCACACTTCACACTTAAATAGGTGATTCCTAAACGTGTCATCCTGTAGATACACTATTTGATATACCCCGTATCAAATTTAGAAATCATTAAAAAGCCTTAATGCTTTATCCTTGGTACTGAACATTGTCTCATCACGAGAATGGACTAAAATTTTATTTGACAATGTTGAACCGTCATTAATGACTTTGTTTGATCTCTTTGAACCTAGATCTTGGGATCTCCAGTCTTCTAGGTAGAGTTACCGCCACAATGACTTGTTCTCGGCCATAGCCCCATTCCCCTTGATGATTTCTCAACTACCTCTCTAGTTAGGCCTTTTGTAAGTGGATCCGACACATTATCACTTGACTTTACATAGTCAATTGTGATAATTCCTCTAGAGAGTAATTGCCTAACGGTTTTATGTCTTCGTCGTATATGACGAGATTTACCGTTATACATGACGCTCCCAGCCCTTCCAATTGCCGCTTGACTATCACAATGTATGCATATTGGTGCCAACGGTTTGGGCCAAAATGGAATGTCTTCCAAGAAATTCCGGAGCCATTCAGCTTCTTCACCGGCTTTATCTAAGGCTATGAATTCAGCCTCCATTGTAGAGCGGGCAATACATGTTTGTTTGGACGACTTCCAAGATACCGCTCCTCCACCAATAGTGAATACATATCCACTCGTGGACTTAGAATCAGTTGAACCGGTGATCCAATTTGCATCACAGTATCCCTCAATCACCGCAGGGAAATTACTGTAGTGCAATTCAAAGTTCTGGGTATGTTCTAAATATCCCAAAACTCGTTTCATTGCCATCCAATGAGATTGGCCTGGATTGCTCGTATATCGACTCAGTTTACTTATAGCACAAGCTATGTCTGGTCGTGTACAATTCATGATATACATTAAGCATCCCAATACACGAGCATAATCCAATTGTGATATGCTTTGGCCTTTGTTCTTTGCTAATGCAAGATTCACGTCAATTGGAGTCTTTGCAACTTTAAAGCCCAAGTGCTTGAATTTTTCAAGTACTGTCTTAATATAATGAGATTGTGACAATGCCAGACCTTGAGGAGTCTTATTGATCTTAATTCCCAGAATTAAATCAGCAACTCCCAAGTCTTTCATATCAAATTTGCTATTGAACATACGCTTAGTAGCATTTATGTTGGCAATGTCATTACTCATTATCAACATATCATCCACATATAGGCAAACAATGACTATGTGATTTGGAACATTTTTAATGTACACGCATTTATCACATTCATTTATATTAAAAGAAACCTAAAAATCGGTTCGGCACGGTACGGTTCTGTCGGTTTAGTTGATTTTTAAATATTCATTAACACCCCTAATTATTACTGACTGAGGAAAATAGCAGTATTAGACCCATTCTTTAACGGCAGGGTCATTAGCGGGCTCAAATTTAAACGAAAGTTATAATT